GGCCAATCAAAGTTTTACATAAGGATATAGAGAAAAAATCTTTTAAAAATATTCTTCTAAAGAACAGAAAAGCCAGTAAGTTATTATAATATGCATATGGAAGCATTTTCTTGTAGTGTAGATTTGTTCAAATTATGACACCCCCACCCCCCCTGTATAGGGTGGGGCCACAATAAAAGTTCTAACTAGTAGGGAAAAACTCAGTTAGTCAAAAATAAATACCCTGTAAGCATCCTTAGTGTAGATTCAGTTATGTTCAATCATACCCCTCCCCCTCTCTCTTTCCCTTACAGGGAGAGGTCAGGACCAAATATGCTTTTAAGCTTTTCAATACAAAGCTGATTTTTGATTTTTATCCAAACCAGGTGAGTGATGTGGCCCTGGGTCTCTTGTTAAATCATTTATCTACACATATATGTACAGTACAACTCGGTTATAACAAACTAGGACCTGTAAAAGTACTTCGCTATATCGATAATTAGTTATATCCATATTTGTAATTTTTAATATTTATATAGTTGGGGATCCAAGAGGACTTCACTATATCTGTGAATTCACAATGTCTGTGTTTGTACTAAACAAGTTTTACTGCAGTTACATGTATGTGGAAGCCGAATATGAGTAAAAGATGTATTATTGTAAATGTAACACAGTATCAACTTCTTTATTTTGTTCAATCCATACAAATGTTTCTTTGAATATTGGAACCTAAAATCAGTAGAAAGTTAGAAAGTAAAATTTATAAAATGCAGCATATCTAAACAGAATTTTTGTTGTTGAAAAAAAAAACCCTTTTGAGGTGAGCAAGGCTGTAATAGTCATACTAATATTTAGAATCAAATAACAGCTAACTACTTGAGGCAAGGATAGGATGAGGGTTAAAACAGGGGTAACATTACTTGAAAATTTAGAGAAGAATTGTAGAGCTGAGGTTTTTCTCAAGAACCACAGGGCCAATTTTTACCAAACTTGGCAGGGCTAAGACCCTTCACAAGGGGTGATAATCAAGAAAAGAGAAAAATGGGGAGCCACTGGGTCAGAAAAGCTGAAACTTATGTTAAAGCATCCAGGGATTAAGTGTACATTCTAAATTGTTTAAATCATGTCCTCCTCCCCTAAGAAAAGGCCTAAACCACAAAAGGTATCAGAAGTAGGAAAATCTGGTTTAGAACAGAATGGCCAGTTACTCTGGTGAGTGTTATGGACCATGGTCTTCTTGTATTCATGATCATGATCATAGAGAAAACGAACCTTAGCTACTCTCTTCCTTCAACAGCAAGAAGAAAAAATTGCTTTATGGAATGCCTATTTTCATTAACAAATTTCAAATTTTGAATTATATTTTTCCAGATTGATGAATCAACTACATGCATTATGTCAGAGGATTTAGCTGGAGCAAATATTTAGCAGCCAGGACACATAGATGTACTTGTACAGTTGATACAGATAATCTCAATGGCACATTTCTAAATGATGGCCAAAAAATCTAATAAAGACACTGTCAGTTTAAAACTCTTTGAAAAGAAAAAGAAATCCAGACCAGAAACAAAGGATATTGATTTTTAAGCTCCTCCAAATCTAAAAGGGGTTTTATTGAAACCAAGACTAGGATACACCCAAGGATGTTGAATATTACACCCCTTCAACATAAAATTTTGAATTTTAGTTTGCCTATCTAGTCAAGAACATGGATTTTTTTTTACTTTTGATACACTTTATAATGTTATATTGACATTTTTTTTTTCAAGATTTCTTTACTGTAAACTAATATATTTCAGCAAAGTGTACATTTACAGATGATTTTTTAAAATTGCTTTGAATACAATTGAAATATTTAGATCATGTCTCAAAAATGGTTAATCACAGTTACCACATAAACCAAATATTTGTTTAAAAAAAGTTATAGGTACAAAAAAAAATGTTGTGTTTTTCATTATCTTACCTAATGGCCACTCATACATTTTTCTTCATATAAGGGAATCTCATTGGCTAAAGTGTATAGGCAAATACAATATTTTTAGAAATGTTGTCATGGTAACCAGATACAAATCACAAAAGCATATTTAAAAAAATATATATATTTTCATCGTCTAAGGACGACCGAGTGAGTGAGTGAGATATATTTTCATGCATTTACAATAAACTGTGAAAATAATACATGTATATTAGTCGATAAAATTATTTTGTATTTTATGGAGATTTTCCAGAATAATTTGTTACCATGGTTACAAAAATTTATGAGATATCCACTGGTTTTATCTAATATTTGCAAGGTTTAGGAGAACATTTTCTATCTTATATTATCATTTTTTTCTGTGCTTGTGGTATTTTTTCCACAACATACTCTGAAAATGATGTATTTTGGTAATTTCTTGAAAAATGAATTTTTGTGATATTCTGTTGCCATGGTTACAGAATATTTTTGAAAAAACCATGGGTTTTGTTTTGTTTTATTAGAATTAAGAATGTGGTCTTTCTATCCCATGCTTTCAGTTTTCTTTAACATGTGGGATTTTTTCTAAATATGCTCTTAAAAATGGGTATTTTTGTGAAAAATGAATTTTTGTGACATTTTGTTGCTATGGTAACAGAATATTTTTTAAAAACCCATGGGTTTAATTTAATTTTATTGAAATTAAGAAAGTGCTCTTTCTATTCCACATTATCAGATTTCCTTTACATGTAGCATTTTTTCTTACTATGCTCCTAAAAACAGTTATTATTGTGAAAAATTGAAAAATGAATTTTTGTGACATTTCGTTGCCATGGTAACAGAATATCTTTTAAAAATCCATGGGTTTTATTTAATTTTATTAAAATTAATAAAGTGCTCTTTCTATTCCACATTATCAGATTTCCATAAAATGTGGCATTTTTTCTTACTATGCTCCTAAAAACAGCTATTATTGTGAAAAATTGAAAAATGAATTTTTGTGACATTTTGTTGCCATGGTAACAGAATATTTTTTAAAAACCCATGGGTTTAATTTAATTTTATTGAAATTAAGAAAGTGCTCTTTCTATTCCACATTATCAGATTTCCTTTACATGTAGCATTTTTTCTTACTATGCTCCTAAAAACAGTTATTATTGTGAAAAATTGAAAAATGAATTTTTGTGACATTTCGTTGCCATGGTAACAGAATATCTTTTAAAACCCATGGGTTTTATTTAATTTTATTAAAATTAATAAAGTGCTCTTTCTATTCCACATTATCAGATTTCCTTAAAATGTGGCATTTTTTCTTACTATGCTCCTAAAAACAGTTATTATTGCGAAAAATTGAAAAATGAATTTTTGTGACATTTCGTTGCCATGGTAACAGAATATCTTTTAAAAACCCGTGAATTTTATTTAATTTTATTGAAATTAAGAAAGTGCTCTTTCTATTCCACATTATCAGATTTCCTTAAAATGTGGCATTTTTTCTTACTATGCTCCTAAAAACAGATATTATTGTGAAAAATTGAAAAATGAATTTTTGTGACATTTTGTTGCCATGGTAACAGAATATTTTTTAAAAACTCATGGGTTTTATTTAATTTTATTGAAATTAAGAAAGTGCTCTTTCTATTCCACATTATCAGATTTCCTTAACATGTGGCATTTTTTCTCACTTTGCTCCTAAAAACAGTTATTATTGTGAAAAATTGAAAAATGAATTTTTGTGACATTTCGTTGCCATGGTAACAGAATATCTTTTAAAAACCCGTGGGTTTTATTTAATTTTATTGAAATTAAGAAAGTGCTCTTTCTATTCCACATTATCAGATTTCCTTAAATTGTGGCATTTTTTCTTACTATGCTCCTAAAAACAGTTATTATTGTGAAAAATGAATTTTTGTGACATTTTGTTGCCATGGTAACAGAATATTTTTAAAAAACCCATGGGTTTTATTTAATTTTATTAAAATTAAGAATGTGCTCTTTTTATCCCATGTTATCAGATTTCTTTAACGTGCAGGCCTTTTTCTTAATATGCTTCTAAAATATGTTGGATTTGAAGAAATATTGTGAAAAGTGAATTTTATGAAATGACCTATATTTAATTGAAATTCAGTACCTTTAATAAATCCTATATAATTTTATCCGTATGGTAATCATCTATCATTTTGTATGTACTTCTTAGGAAAAAAAGATTTATTTAGGGTACTATCATCAAAAAAGCTCTGTTCCTGTGTTCAAAAATAGCTAAATTCACATTTTTTTCAATTTTTTGCTTGGTTGCCATGGGCATTTATATGGTGCATTGTTTCCATGGCAACAAAGGCTGGCCAAAAAAATTATGTTGTCCAATGATGTTCCCTTGGTCCATGAAGCAACATATTAAAATTTTGTAAAAATCTGAATTGGTCATGAATCACCCCCTGCCTGGTTCTTACAAATAGCTGTACTTAAGTAGACTTTTCATGCTTTTGAATGACAACATAAACAAGCATTTTGAGAGTATCACAGAAGCAATACATGTCTCCTACCGGGTTTCCATTTTTCTTCAGGATGTCATTTCATGTTTACAAAAGTTCTGAACGAGTTAAAACAGCTTGATTTTGAAGTTCTGAATGCCTTTAACCTCGTTAAATAATCCACATGAAGATGAAAATCTATCTCCCTTTTTTATAACGTCTTTTCCTCGCGTCATATTTACCATGATCACTATCGGTGTTCAGCGCAGCACGAACCCGATTCGATCTCAAACCATTATGAAAAATTACAAAAAATGCAATAATTATGTGAAAAGTCAATAAAGCGAAATTCAAACTTGAGCCGTAGCGCATTAAGATGCACTCACATACCAAAATTCAGCTTAATATCTGCACCCGTTTAGGGAAAAAGTCCGGAAAACCAAGTAGAACAGACAGCTGGATAGACGGATGGACGGACATCTAGACAGCTAGATGAATGTCGGACAGACGCAGAGGTAACCTATAGTCCCTAAAAATTCACTACGCAAGTTTTAAGTATGGTTGATCAAGATCTTTTATATTATTCCTTATCATGTTTATAAGGTCATGTACCTGCTGATAATTTTCAGGATCTGCATATTTCCATCTTTGTTGACAAATGTATTATCGAATGGAATCAGTCTGTCGTTACATTCTGAAATGAAGTTCTGTAATTTTCTAACGTTTTTTGCGGAATCAGCTAAAAATAACTTGAGGTCCACTTTTTTACTTTTTAAAATGTCGTTTCTAGTAAATAAAACTATCACAAACTGTTTAAAATCTTTGTCGACATTATCAAAAAGTTTTTCAATGTTATTTAAAACCTCAACATCAACATCATGGATTGCAGCCGGCTGCATTACAACGATGATGGCATGGAGACGCCCTTCACATAACTTCCACATCCTTTTCATTTGTTTTTTCATAGTTTTGTCTTTACGTCCAGTATCAACAAGACCGGTGGTGTCTATGACTATAGTCTTGAGATCATCTATGTCAACCTCTGCCTTAGAACATTTATTAGTAACAGAGGCAGCAGAGAGTTTAGCTTCGAATTCATATCTATTTAGAATAGTATTGCCAGTTGAAATCTTTCCGTTTCCTGTTTTTCCGAGAAGTAAAATTCTTATTTCTTCGGATAAAGGCTGCTTTTCGTCTACATGATTTGGTGCTGAATCTGTAAAAACAAATATGTTCTAGGAGATATAATGCATCAATAAGCAATAAAAACGTATATTTATACTTAATTTCGTATCTGAAACTCATAAATATGTTTATTAAATTTTGAAACGATCTTAAGAATTCCTCAGATGTTTCGAGAGTGACACCAATTTAACAAATTTTGCAGTTTTAAGTACACCCCTGGGGTGATGTATGCCTATAGTGATAGGGCTGTGCGTCCTTCCGTGCGTCAGTCTACGTGTCCGTAACACTTTTGTGTTTCTATCTCTTATCTAAAACTACTCCTATACCTCTGATTAATACAATATAATAAGACTTTCACATAATCTTATTTCATTATGCATCTGTTCTCTAACATTTTGATGGATAACATAACATGTGGTTTCCCATAACAAATTCACTGATACTGTCAACATTTTTCATAATATTGTACCACTAAGAAATAAAATTAGGTTTTTACAGAATCATTATTGCATTTTTTTATGTTTTGAGTGGAATTTCGGGTTGCCGTCAGCAAAATTATACTAATATGGGAGTGCATATGAAGGTATACATTTTTTTAGTCCATGTTTCACAGTACCTCTAATTTAAAACACATCCTTACACAAGAAAGACGACAAAAGTGCGATGAAAAGACCTGTGTGGTTTAAAATAAACGTAAAGGCTGTTCGGAAAATTTATTGGATCATTATTACTTATTGCATCTTGAATGGATTCTCAGGGGTTTCATCTAAAGAAGATGTATATAATATTGCCCCCTTCCAATATATTTTGTTAGTTTGACTTCCTATGAAGGAAATATGTCTTAGGAAAGCCAAAGAAACAACCTTTTTATTTCTGGTAGTTATATTTTCTTGCAGTAAACCATTGTTTTGCAATATAATTATAAAGGCCGCTGTTTATGGTATCTAACTCTTTACATTGTTATAACCAGACGCCTGAGAAGTTCAGGCGTGTATTTTGTATAGGTTCTTAAACAGAATAACCCAAAATCTACAATTACTGGTTGTTGAGGAGATTTAACAAAAGTTTCTTATAATTCATTTTATGATTTGATACCCTATTATGGCACCACCTTACCCAATGAGATCATTTCTTAAACCACCTTAAATTAACACTATGTGATAAAGTTTCACATAGTTAACTTAAAGATATTTGTAGAGGTCATGTATGATAATTATACCCCGAGAGTATGTTCAACAAATCAGGCGAATGTTTAGTGAATTGTTTTCAAATTATTAAAAAATTTATGTTATCAAACCACCGTATAAGTAGAATTTTTAGCAAGGATTTAATTTTGGCATTACTAGCGAGGGTGATGAGATCGCTAAAATTGAATATCGCTAAAAATTTAATGTGCATTTTATTTGTTATAGCTTTTTTAATATGCATTTTAAAATCGCTAAAATAACATCTCGCTAAAAATTAATTACTAGTTTTTAAGGGCAAATCGCTCAATTCGCGTCTCGTAAAAATTTCCATTTATACGGTAATTTATATTGCATACTCTGAAGACTGTCTTGTATTTGCTACATGTGAGGAATTTAAGTGAATGTGACATTAGTGTCAAATCTTGAAAAGACATCTGGTAGCGTCATTCTACATCATTTTGAATAATTAAATGTAAATCAACGTTATTGTTAATACACTTATTTTATTTACATTTCTCAAAAGGAAATAGTTCTAGCTGCAGTATGAATCAGACAGAATAAATAAACCCCCCAAAAGCTACACAAAAAATGTATATACAGTCAAACCTGTATTAAGAGACCTTCCAATGGAGAAAGGAAAAAAGGTCACATATGACAGGTGATCTCTTAATACAGGTTGCTTACTTTCCGCAGTGTTCAAATGTACAATGCCAAAAATATCACACGTGTATGTTGAATGTATTTATAACACCCTCTGTTTATTTCCACTTTTAATAGGTACTGCTCAAATCTAAAATGCTTTTACAATTGCACTGTTTGAGGAATATGATGGTAAAATCTTTAAAAATTTTCTTCTCAAGATCCACAGGGACAGGGAAGATGAAAATCATGTAAAAATAAAAATTTGCTTGTTCCTTACATCAGTCATATGATTATTGGGAAATATTGTGAACATCTGAAAATATTAATATTTTTTACATACAGTATAAAAAGCTGCAAATTTTTTTCTAATGATAGTTTTTTTAATAACATGCTAGCCTATATATAACTTCGTATGTTTTGCATATTACTAAGAATCAAAACTGTATCATGAGTTTTGTTATGCACTTGGTGTCAAATTAAATTATATTTATGAATTAAATTTTTATATAACCCAATTATTTTTTTTTCATTACTGAACTAACGTGTCTAATTGCCTGTTTGTGACCAGGTATTTCAATTTTCTCCTGGTGTGGGTACTAGCTAGCGTGTGTATACATACACATTGGTGACAATGCACTTAAGGTTTCGTCAAAGGTCAACATGGTCAAAAATTTATTTTTACAATAGTCCAAAAACAATATGAGGTATTAAGTTAAAACTTTTACAGTTTATCAATTTTTCATTGATTAACAGATAGAAAGTATCACTTGATAAAAAAAATACTTGGAAAAAATATTAAGAAAAATTCTTCTTAAAAATGCATATATTTTCAAAAATAACACCTAATTAATTTCGTGCTCTTAGTGAAAACCATCATTAGAGACACAAAATATGTTTATCAATGAAGGGCAAGTTGGACTTGGATAGTCTCTGGAAAGTTGTTTTCCCTGTTTATTTTGTCCAAATGTTAAGACTTGAAAGTGAAAGCACATTGCAAATGGCAGATTCTATAGGGGTCTTGTCTTTATACATGTCATGCTTTCAATAACAGCCTTTCAGAGACCATTCACGTCCAACTTGCCCTTCAATGATAAACATATATTATTTTTGCAATGATGGTTTTCACAAAAAGGACAGAATAAAGCACGTGCATTTTTTTGAAATATGCACATTTTCTGATACAATTTTTCTCCCAAAAAATATATTTTAAAAATATTTGTTATCAAATGATACTTTCTATCTATTAATCAATGATATATTTATAAACTGTAAACGTTTTGACTTTATACCACACGTAGTTTTTTAGCTATTGTAAAAATGATTTTTTAGACATGTTGACCTTTGACGAAACCTTAAATAAAAATCTAGGGTTTAGTTACTTGTTAATTAAAGTTAAAAAGGCACTTTTTATAGCTGAATATATATTTGGCCCTCATAGGCCCCTAGCATGAAATGACATCGGGATCGACCTCGAACGTCTATTTTCAAAATGGCGCTCGATCAGTGGACATAAAATGTGATGTTTGTGTTTTAGATTTTAATGTATATTCAATAAATTATAAAGCGTACGTAAAAATATTTATGTGTTAATGTTATTTTAGTCGTAAAACTCACATTTATAATTATTAAATGAAAAAAGCGTGCCTGTAGTTGTTTTGAACCAGAATGCTAGACCTAAATCGAAAGTAGGAATCGGAAATTATGTAGCCGTTGAATTCAGGTAAAATTGCTTGAAAGTTCAAAAATATGGCTGAAAAATTGCCGACTCGGCGTTAAACAATATACAATCAATCAATCAATCAAAAAATGGTCAGGAAAATCACGGTTATTGTTCGCGTTAGACAGGTGGTCGTTTAATACAGGTAGAACATATAGGGAAAAGCTTGGGGGGGGGGGGGGGGTTTACGGTCACATGTGACAGTGATTCGCTTAATACAGTGTGTCGCTATGGCAGTTTTGACTGGTAATTGTAATTTAATGTAGAACCAATTAGGTGTTTGAAAGATAGAAACAAAAAGAGAAAAAAGAAAATATACCAAGCCAAAACTGAAAACTTAAGATCAAAGGTGCGCAAAAAGAGTTACATTTAAGAAATTGTTCAATGCGTATCGAATCAACTGATATCTATAAACTCCGTACGCAGATGATGAAGGTATATTGCTGCATAAAAAAGGGAAGTTCACAACTGTAAGTTAAAGTCATCACATTTATTTTAGAGCTTGGTTATTAGATAACCATGAACGTCTTTTCTCGTCAAACATCAAAACATGAAACAGGTATGTCGGACTCTATGGTATATTTTATCTCAAGCTCAGTGGGACATATCATATTAACATAAAAATGAAAATGACCATTGGAAAATATTCACATTTACTTTATTTGACCATAATAAAAAGCATTATAAAACAAGATGTGTTTGTAAAACACTGATGCCCCCGTATGGCAGCATAGCAAAGATTAAGCTTTTCTTAAACGCAAATTTAATTAATTGGTACCAAAAGTAGGGTATTCTCACTGGAAAACAATTGTGAAATTTAAAAGTAAGCTAATGTTAAAGTTTCTCCAAGGTCAAGGTCAAAAGGTCAATGTAATTAGTATCAAATGAAAGGTCTTGCCACATAAAATACTTATGTAGAGTATGAAAGCCCTACCCCTAACCGTTCAGAAGTTATGGTCAACGTTCAACTTCTTAAAAAAGTAGGTCAAACTCCAAGGTCAAGGTCAAAGGGTCAAAGTTATTGTTATCAAATGAAAGGTCTTGTCATAAGAATCAAATATGTAAAGTATGAAAGCAGTAGCTCTAACTCTTTAAAAGTTATGGTCAAGGTCTGCTTTTTTAAAGTAGGTCAATCTCAAAGGTCAAGGTCAAAGGGTCAAGTTCTTGGTATCTAATGAAAGGTCTTATCACATGAATTACATATATGAAGTAAGAAAGCCCTACCCCTTACCGTTCAAAAGTTATAGCCAAGGTTAAAGATTTTTCACAAGTACGGAAATCTACAAGGTCAAGGTCAAAGGGTCAAGATTGTTGGTATCCAGTGAAAGATCTTTAAACAAACATTACATATGTGAAGTAGAAATGTTCCGGTGTCTACTGTTCAAAAGATATGGCCAAAGTAAAATTTTTGCTTTTTTAAAGTAGGTTTATCTCAAAGGTCAAGGTCAAAGGGTCAAGATTGTTGGTATCCAATGAAAGGTCTTC